TGAGCAGGGGAGTCCCCCAAGCCCCCACAGCCCCAAACTCCCCTGTGCCCACCCTGTGGCAGGTCCTGGGCACAGTACACGCGGATCTGCAGCGTGGTAGCACACGGGGGTGGGCGCAGCAGGTTGGATTTCACGTCCTCGTCCCCCGATGGCACCTCCTGCTCCTTGGGGAGGTGCCACAAATTAGGGAACCCCGCAGGAAGGTTTTCAGGGTGCTGAGGGGTTTAGAGGGCCTCACCTGCACTCTCTCCCCCGCCCGGCGCACAGCCAGGCTGACCTGCAGGTACCCCCGGGAGTGGCTGTCATGGTGCTGTGGGTGTTGCAGGCTCAACCACTGCCAGCTCAGGGTGCGCCCTGAAATGGGGGGAGACCTCGTGATCACCTTGGGGTCACCCCAGAATCACCCTGGTGTCACTCCAGTGTCACCTCAACCCTCTCGCCCACCTGGTGCAGAGTACACAGTGCCGATGTCGAGCTGCAGGGATGGCAAAGGGGTGAGAGTGATCCCACATCCCATTCCCAACAACCATTCCCCTCGCCCTGTTCCCGAAACCCCATTCCCGATGCCCTGTTCCAGACCCCCCATTCCCAACATCCCATTCCCGACACTTCATTCCCAAGTCCAACTCCCAATGCCCTGTTCCAGTCCCCCCAATTCCCAATTCCTCATTCCCAAACCACATCCCTCACCTCAAAGGTGCCAATGACAGCTTTGGTGCAGAGGTTTTGGGAACGGAGCACCTGTGACAGGGAGGGGATATGGCATCAGGAGCCACCTCCTGTCCTTGTCCCTGTCCCTGTTCCATCCCTGCCAGTGCCACCAATCCCTCCCACCTGGATCCGGATGGGCTGTGCCACCAACTGCTCTGGTGTCTCGTGGAAATTTTGGCAGAACACCTAAGGAAAGGGCAAAGAGGGTGAGCGTGGGCTGAAGGACACTGGGGGTCCCCGTGTCCCCTCCCTGGGGTCACCTCATTGAAATAGGGGTTGTTCCCTGTCTGGCTCCGGGTCCGGAAGTGCCTCTTCCCTATGAGCACCTTCACCACCGGCCTGATATCGTTGCCCTGGAGCTGCCGGGCCTGGATGATCCTCACCCGAACCTGCGGGAGAGGAACAGGGACAGAGTGGGCGATGGGTGGGATATCACCCCCAGGGGTCTCAGGGTCCAGGGGGCTTGGGTTGGAGTTCAGGATAGTCTTTGTTTGGAGTCCAGGATAGGCTTGGTTTAAGGTTAAGGGACTTGGTCTGAGGGTCCAAGAGATTTTGATTTGGAGGCCCAGGGGGATTGGTTTGGGGGTCCAGGATAGGCTTGGTTTGGGGGTCCAGGAGGTTTGGTTTGAAGGTCCAGGGGGCTTGGCTCAGTTTGGGGTCCAGAATAGGCTTGGTTTGAGTTCCGGGGGGATTGGTTTGGGGGTCCAGGATAGGCTTGGTCTGGGGTTTAGGCCAGGCTTAGTTTGGAGTGCCATACCTGGAAATCCTCTTTCCTCTCCACGGGGGCCCTTCCAGAGCTCTGAAGTGTCTCCAGTGCCCCCAGCAGTGCCACCCATCCCTGAGGGGTGACCGTGGCATTCCCAGCCTTGCCACAGGGGGTGTAGTAACAGCGGAAGGTGATGGTGCACTGCAAAGGGACAGTGACACCCCAGTGGCCCTGGTGGCACCCCAGGGTGCTGGAGGGGGGCTCCGTGGGGGGGAGCTCACCCCTGTGGGCTTATCCCAGTGGTCAAGAAGCAGGACATCCCTGCAGGCCATCGGCAGGCTGGGGTTGGCCACCAACTGGTCCAATGACACTGTGGTGCCACCCAGGTCCCTGTGGGGACAGGGGAACATGGTGAGGGTGGCTATGAGGTGGGGGTCACCCTGGGGTGCCCACCCACACCTGCCACTCACCCCCGGGGCAGTGGGTGGTCCCAGTGCTGGAGGCGCAGGCTCAGCGTGTCCGTGGGGCTTAGGGGACACTCGTCCAGTGACCACACCAGCTCCTGGGGGTTGGAGGGAGGTGACAAGGGGTCAGGGGGATAACCCGTGTGTTCCTGTGCTGCTGCAGGTCCCCCTGGGGTCACCTCACCTCATTCCAGGTGGGGCTGCGCTCCTCAGGTACCACCTGGGTTCTCCTGGAGGTACCTGTGGAGAGGACAAGAGGAGGGTGGTGGCACCTTAGGGTGGGGTCATTGGGGTAGCAGGGTAAGCCTGGCACTGGCCCCATGCATTGGGACACCCAGAGCTGTCCCCGGCTGTGGCCACCAACATCCTGTCCCACTGGGATGCCACCCCTCACACCAGGATGGCCAATACCACCCAGCCCCACAGGGACGGCCACTGCGGTGTCCCCTTCCCGTTCCCAGTGGTACCTCGGAAGCAGACGGACAGATGGACACTGGGACCAAAGCCAGTGGCCCCGGGGATGTGGACACTGACCACATGGAGTCGCAGCATGGCCAGGGACCATTGGCACTGGGGGTGGTGGCAGGAGTGTCACCAAGGGGCTGCCACCAATGTGCCACGCCTGAGGTGCTGTCACCGAAGAAATGGCTGCAGGTTTGTCACCAAGGGGCTGCCATCAATGGGCCACCCCTGAGGTGCTGTCACTGGTGATGGCTTCAGTGCTGTCACCAAAGAAATGACTGCAGGTTTGTCACCAATGTGCCACTCTCGAGGTTGCCACCAAAGGGTTGCCACCAATGTGCCCCTCCATGTGCTGTCCCCAAACTGATGACACCACAGCAGCATAACGGTTTGGTTCTCACGTTCCAGAATGTCAATGGGAAGGAGGCAGGGCAGGGACTGTTGGATGGATAGATGTGTCCCTGTGTCCCCATGTCTCTGCCATTGTGTGGCCATGTCTGTGAGCAGCCATGTCCCCATGTCCTTGTCACTGTCATGTCCATGAGCAGCCATGTCAGCGTGTTCCTGTGTCTCCATGTTCATGTGCTCCCATGTCTTGTGTCACCCTGACGCAAAGGGGACATGGTGGGGACATTGGAGGGATGCAGAGGGGATGGGAAGGGGACACAGAGAGGGCACGGAGTGATGATGGAGGGGACAATAAGAGGGGATATGGAGACACCAGTGACAGAAAACGGAGGAGACACGTGGAAGATGTGAAGTGTTCGTGGATGGGATACAGGAAAGTGGAAACACAGGACTACAGGAACATGGGACTGCAAGATGATGGGAATGTGAGAACACGGGAATGCTCCCTCAACACTCGTGTGCACTTGAGGGGTGGTGAAAGAGGTTGGACTGGATGATCCTTGTGTGTCCCTTCCCCCCAGGACATTATCAGATTCTTGTGTGTCCTTTCCTCCTCAGGATATTCTGTGGGAGCGCCCGGTGTCCTGTGCAGGGCCAGGAGTTGGACTGACTGATCCGTGCGGGTCTCTTCCCACTCGGGCCATCCCACGAACCCTGGAGGCCCCTCCCCAATTGGGATATTCCCAGATTCCCTCATTCCCCTCAGGATATCCTGGGCATCCCGCCCC